TTGAGTCCCCTTTATGAGGGTTAGATGAGTGCTGGTCCCACTTGGATAGCTCACCTGTAATAATCCGCCTTGTTAGAAATGGATCATAGGCAAAGCTCGGACACCTGTTTGGAACTTCTGCTAGAGATTGTGTCTGGAGATGGTCAGTGCAGCAACCCACATGTGTGGGTCACATGACCCCAGGTCTACTATTTGTTCCTTGTCCCTCAGTTGTTCCAGAAAATAGTTGTCTTCTCGAAGAGAATAAATATTTCCCCCCAAATGAATCACATAATGCAGCACTGGCATCAAGGCAAGTAGTTTTGATTCGGAATAAATTCAGCTATCTGCTTTGCTCTATTTGCCAGTTCCATGTTTTTAAGATGATTCACATTGACTCATTTCTCTCTCCCATATGTCCTGGACTTGTACTTTATAACACCAGACGGGGATACTAATTAAACTTTAGAGTTTGCTCCCACAGTGCAGAAAGAGATTCGTAATGACAGGTCTGGCGGTAATCAATATATCTGCCGCACTTGTAATGATTTAAAGGGAATGCCATGGTTACTGGTTAGAATAAAAGCGAATGAGCTCTGTAAATTTAATTTAGAGGAGTTATAACTTGATCATCCAGAAATATATTACAGGCGCTTCTTGTAGTTTTTGACAAAGCCCAAGGCATGCTTCTAGCAAGCTCTGGGATTTAACCAGGGACTGTTTCTTCACAGTGAGGTGGATAACAGGTGACGCCTGCCCACTGGCCAGGCTTCAGGAACATCACTTCCCCAGTAGAGGTGTCGCTCTCATTCCACACGACACTACTTCAGAATCATTAGTTCACAATTAATGTCTGTTATTCTGTCCACGAATTGGAAGTCAAGCTGTCGGCAAAGTCGTCTTGAAGGTCAGTCCAGAGGCAGGATAGTTCGCTTTTGAAGTCACACACGAGAGGAACGAGGCATCGTCTTCTTTACATTTCTGTGACGTGGTTGGTGTGTGTTAACCCCGGGCAGATCCCCTCTCTCTCCCCCTGCAGCTGTGTAATACAGGGAACATTACTGCATGTAGAGAACAGAAATGCTCTGCTCTCAACTCTCCTTGCAGATCGCCTTTGTCCATTTGCTAACATTTATTTACTGAATTACCGTATTCGCTGAGACACTTCCTGCCCCATGTCCATGCATCGTTCCTCATGGTTCTTGCTTTAATTGTGCTCTCCCTCAATAGGACTCGTGATCTCTTTGTCTCCCCCGCCCTGCCCCCACCCCCTTGCAGTCTGAGAGTGAAGCTGGTACTTCTCAGAATGAGTTATTTTGTCATCATCTGTCCAGACAGCGTCTCTTTTGTTTTATTTTGCATCGCGTCCCCACTCCTGCTTCATTCCCTCCACAGGTGATGATGTATTTTATTATATATGTAACATATTTTATAGAAGGCTGTATATATATCTATGTACATATATGCATCCTTAATTATTCATGTGTTTTTGCAAAATGTTTTGTTCTGTGTGTAGGTTTTTCATTTTAATAAATTCTACTGTTTTGCGGATCTAGTTTTATTTCCTATGCTTTTCACTCCATACTATATTGTGAAGATGTAAGACTTAAGGTTGTCGTATATGGATCTAGTGTGTTACTTCTCTGGGCTGTACGGCATGCTTCACCTTCTCTCACGTGGTACATTTTCTAGGGACAGACATTTGGGATGCCTGCAAGTGTGGGCACCACAGACACTCCTACGGATGCCCTCATACACCTCCCTTCATGGATCTTTGCAAGAATTTCTCTGGGGGAGGGGTTATCACTCACGAAAACATTTTATTTTTAATTTTTAAATTTTATTTATTTATTTTGAGAGAGACAGAAGGAGAGAGGAAGAGGGCCAGAGAGAATCCCAAGCAGACTCTGCGCTGTCAGTGCGAGCCCGACACGGGGCTCGAACTCACCTACTGTGAGATCATGACCTGAGCTGAAGTCAGATGCTTAACCAACTGAGCCACCCAGGTGCCCCTGTTGCTGTCCCATTTTACAGATGAAGAGATGGAGAAGAACAGATCAAGAGGCTAGTAAACGGTGGTGCAGGCTTCAAAAACGCTTACACCGTGCCCGTCAGACCCTGGCTGCATGGAACCACTGATCTAAGCATCTTTAAACATAAATTTATGGATGAATTTGAGAATCTGGGGAGCTGCTGTGATCCCACAGCTGGCAGTCTGGTGCACGTGACCCTCTTCCTGCCCCTCAAGCAACCTCTGGAGTCGGCCCCTGTGCTATCTTCTTCAGAGTGTTTCAGCCTGGGGCCTGCGGTAAGAGGGACGAGGAACCTCAGGCCTGGCAAAGCTGCCCACGCCTCTGGGCAGCTGGACTCCGTCCCCTGAAGGCCGACGATGCTGTGGGGCTGGGCTGGAGCTGGGGGTACCGTCCTGCAGCCGAGTGGAGGGGGGCAGGGGTCCGCGAGGGCCTCCCTGGCAGGAGAGCGCCATGTTGGGACGCTTCTCCATCGGGCACCCGTGCCTCACCCTGGTACTGCCCATCCTGCCTAATTTGTCCTAAATGTGCCTTCTTCCTGGCTTCAAAAGTTGCTCCTCATCTGGATATACTGGTGCTCAGGGGGGTAACCTCATAGTTACCCTCTCTCTCTAGCTTTCACGATTGAGATGCTTGCCGTGTCCCCGGTTAGAGGTTGTCTTCCCAGACTTAAGAATTTTATCTGCCAAATTGCTATTTGTGAACACAAAATGGCTTATTTTCATCATGTTGGCCTTTTTCACGTCTGTCTTATCTTAGTTTAAATTTCATAATTTTGATGGGCACCTGGGGGGCTCAGTCGGTTGAGCATCCGACTTCAGGTCAGGTCATGATCTCGCAGTTCGTGGGTTCAGGTCCGCATCAGGCTCTGTGCTGACGGCTCAGAGCCTGGAGCCTGCTTCGGATTCTGTGTCTCCCTCTCTCTCTGCCCCTCCCCTGCTTGTGCTCTGTCTCTCGTTGTCTCTCAAAAATAAATAAATGTTAAAAAAATTAAATTTCATTAATTTGAATTTTTATTTTTAGAAGAAATGACTAACTTTCTCATACTTTAGGTCAGGGGACTTAAAAAATGTTGGTTTCTATCCTTTGGAGAAGACTTGGCATATGTTTTTGTTTTGTTTTGTTTTGTTTTGTTTATAGAGTGAGAGAGAGTGTGAGTGGTGGAGAAGGCTAGAGGGAGGGAGAGAGTGAGACAGAGAAAGATAGAGACAGAGAAAGAGAGAGAGAGAGAGAGAGAGAATCCCAAGCAGGCTTCATGCTCACCAGGGAGTCCGGCATGGGGGTTTGATCCCACGACCATAGGATCATGACCTGAGACAAAATCAAGAGTTGGATGCTCAACCAATTGAGCCACCCAGGCACCCTGGGGATATGTGTTTATTTACCCCATCTCAAGAGATTTTTACTTACCATATACCCAGAAGATGAATAAAGATGGATGGAAAGACCATGGAAATGCAATCAGAAAAGTTGTGTTCTCTTTCAGGCCCTTTGTAGCCATCCAGGCTTTGTTTGTGGCAGTGGGGAAGGGTTGCCAGTAGAAAGGGGCCCTTAGGCACAGGGATTATTTAGCTCAGCCTTCACTGAATTCATGGTTTCGGAGTGACCATGGACAAGTGAGCACGTGCTAATGATTACTCGTAACACTTGCTGTAAAGAGTTGGCTTTCTGCTTAGGTTCACACAAACCTTCTCAAGAGAGAACACAATTATCTCCTCTTCTCTATGTTCTGGTAAGCTCACCATGCATGTCATCACTGACAAAGAGTAAACTCTCCCCCTGCAAGTGTCTCATTGGTCCCTTCTCTGCTTCTCTATCCCCCATTCTTTCAACAGATCCTGCCTTGTGCCAAATGAAGTCACAGTCCTCCTGGAAATTACTGATCTCCTTGTCCACAAGGTGTATGGTAGATGCTACTGGGCAGGGAAGTGCTGGCTTTCTTTACTCAAGGGACTTACTGATAGTCTCCACCTGTTAGGTCACGGTGGTAAAGCAAGATCATTACCAAGAGCTATCTAGAACACTTGAGTATCATTGCTGCAGACTGGCCTCGGGAGTTGCTAAGGAGCAGAGGTTGGACTTCTAACTGGGAATTCACATGGATTTGGTATACATTGAAATGCTTCACTGAGAATCGACTAAAAGGAAACGGCTTCCCAATGTTAACTCAAGACTGGCAAATAGGAGGAATAATTTAGGGCTACGGCTCTTAATGCCCGTGGAGTGCATTTAGAAAGACACGTTGTAAATCTCTGTTGTCTGGTTGACTGGCCTGAATCCATTTGTCCATTATCCAATGTTACTCCCTCATTCCAAACATGGCTCAGAATGTATTCTGGACATCACTTAACTCTAACCACATTTTATCAAGCTGTGTGTAAATTAATCTAAAACATGAAGCCAATATCCATTATGCTACCTCAAGAAAAATGGGGGAGGGGAGGCATGTGTGGCCAAAGAAGGTTAACAATGAATGAGTCGGTAGAAGACCCGTCTTTGAAGAGTTGACTGTATCACCACAGTTTTGGGAACGATTACATTCCCAACAGAGGTACGTTCCAGTGCCTGGAACTTTCTTTGCTGAAGGTTGAAAACGGCTTCTAAGAGAATCAGGTGGAACAAAATACAAAGAATCTCTTTTAGGATAATTAAAACTATTTTGGATTTTTTATTTATCAATCTGGTTTCTAATATAATTTCAGTTAAGTGAAAGACATTCACAAAGGATATTAGGCATACATACATAGTTTCCTTCTTTCATTGTAATTTAACATGCTGTTGCTTTTAGAGAGTGAACTTTTGTGTCATTTCACAGGGTGGAATCCTAATTGACTTTACAGAAAGAATACTTAGCCCAGCTTTTCACAACCCTGACCTCCGCAGTCACCGTGCTCACTGAAAAAAATGCAAAAACTCAACCAAACTTAGAATCAATAACATCAGAACTGTTTCTTGGCCTACTTTGAGAGGATGTCTTCATAGCCATGTTAGAACCCAGCGGTTACTGTTTAAAATAAACTGAACTTGGAAATGTTGCAGGCCACCTGTGTAGATCTGCTCTTAAAGCACATTTTCATATGGAAAGTGACCTTGGAAATGCATGTGGATATTCATACCTGTGTGCTCAGGTATCTTTATCATCTTCTGCCAGTCTTTACTCCACGGGAGATAATCAACTTTTCAACACAGTTTCCCTATTTCATTGACAATGAGTTTTATATACCACTCGCATCCGGAAAATACTGCTGTGAAAGAAATCTATTCTAAAGTTTCCACCATTATCATGCAGGGTATGTGTAGGGTAGGCACAGCGCCACTAGGCTACATGGAAAAATCACACTTGTTTCTTGTGTTATCTTATGTATAAGCCAGCCCAATGGCACTGGGGCCATGTGTAAGCTGTACGCCACATCTGGGTGGGAACTTATGCTTTGTGCACACTAAGTTCTGATTTCTCTGGCTGTTGGCTGTTGCATCTCCCAGGATTGACAGGTTAGCTCCCAGGCAGTCTACCTGATTAACAAGTTAGCAGCTGTGTGGCAATGCCCCATAAGTCTGCACACTCCTGGAGGTGGCCACCTTGTTTCTTTGGTGTGACTTACAGCCACAGGCCAGAAAGTCAGTCTTCCAGTGGGCTCCATTGACTTGGGTCTCTATATTGAGTGTCAATGGATGCTGAAGTCAAGACTCAATGGCACCTCATGATTGTCTTATCAAGTGGGCAAAGTAGCTGTATCTTAAATATGGGGCAAAGAGGGACCAAGGTTCACCAGCTTGACGTGGTCAAGTCAGGGAGTGAGAAAGGGTTAGGACTCCATCATCTTATTCCCACGGTCTACCCTCCCCATGACATCATTTTAAACATAGCGCTCATTGGTTTTAGCCCAAATCAGCTAGACATGCTGTTTGTCTCTCATCTATTTCAGGATCAGTTGGGTCTGCTGCCACTAGTAATTTAGGGCCTGTGTTTAGCTGGCTAACTGGAATTCAATTTAATAACCATTGCCTTTCTTTTTGAAAACGGCTGGACAGGATGACGAAAAGGAAACAATATTAAGCGGTTTAAATCAGGTGCTAATTGTTTGGAGGCATAAACATTTCATTCCATTGAAATGTTCACACTATGGAAGGAAAGAAAGGGAGGAAAAAGAACAAGTGGAGGGATTAAAAAGAGCAGATCCTGTAATCGAAGGAAAAGAAGTTTCTTCTGGACACCACGCTGACACTGTGTTTTCACATTTGGTAGCTACGTTTTCCTTCGGTGCTTCCTATGGTGTGTGTCCTTGCGCGCAGCTCCCTGCAGGTCTCTGGGGGCCGCTCCACAGATGTTCAACAGTAACATTAAGATGTACTCTTTGGCTCATGCCAATTCTTTTTCCTATGCCCCTGAATCCCTGTTCCTGTTAGTAACGGGTGCTTGTTCATCAAACACACGGCAACGGGAAGCTGTCCAACAAAGGCCCTCCAAACCCTTGTTTCCAGCGCCTATAGCCTTCTGAATGAAGAAGGGTCAGAGAAGACCTTAACAATATAACTTCTCACCTCCTGAGCTAGTCGCCTTGTGCTCTGGGGAATATGTTATTTTGAGAGCTGAGAATGGTGCCGATCTTGCTTTCAAAGTCCTGCTTCTACCTTCTCAAAACCTAGACGTTTGTTTTCTACACAGAAGATGCTTCCTGCACAGACAACCCTACGTCAGCCATCAGTTCTTCCTGACACATCAGTTCTTCCTGGCAGCTTGTTTCTAAATTTTATCTTTTCTTTGTTTTGTTTATTATTTAAAGAGGTTACCACTAGCCTCTCTGGACTCGATTGATAATGGACTGAGATAGAAGAATGTCAAGATTTTGTGGGATATGACTGACAAAGCAAGATCAGGCACTGAGCTTGGGTCACAATGGGCCGTCCAGGCTGCATTGTGCTGAGGTTTCAAGGGAAGGAGCTGGAAAAAAGAGATGTTCTTTATTTTCATGTAAATTATCGACCATTTAGCACATACTGGATGTGGCCTTCATATATACCTTTGGGACTTTGATGAAGACCACAATTCCAAAGAGAAGCCAAGGATTTCCAGCACTCACTTGGCACTTAACTTGGTTACTTAATACCTTATCCACGTTTTTCTGTCTTGTCTTCTGGCTGGACTTACCTCTCTTAAGGACATACTGTATGTTTAAATGGTGGTGACAAGAGAGACCCACTGATCCCTCAGTCAGTCCAGTGTCCTAGGTTTGCAAATTTGATGAGAGAAGTGTTAGGTTTTATTTTTCACCTTTTGAGGCAGGAAAAGAGGGAAGAGAGTGAAGAGAAAGGGTAAGAATGTTTTGGTGTCACCACTTGTTTTTGATTGTTTTAACCCCTTTATCATTTTGGAAAGAAAGGGAAAATGCTGAGACAATGCATAAAGAAGAAAGCTATAATGGGAAATGCAGGAAACAATACATTCCCATCAGCATTATTTGTGAAGTGTAAAAGTAATACCTGTAAAGTAGGTTTAAAAAAAAATCTGAAACCTTTCTACAAAACATAATGTTTACAATTTTTGCTTTCATAATTTGACAATACACAAAAGAGCCCTTAATGGTAGTCATCTGGGTTAAACAAACAGCCTTTGTTTTTAATGTGTCATTTGTGTGCTATATTGTTCTGCTCTTTAGTCATAGCACATGCTTTTCATTTAACAATGTATATTATGGAATAATGATCAAGAACTTTTTAAGGTAAAGGTGTTTGTGACAGTGGCTGAGGGTCAGCAACTATGAAAGGCGGTCTGATTCCCTTTCGCCCTGTTACCTCGGCTCTGATGTAATGGAATTAGCTGGTCCAGTATCTACTTAGGGATGTGTCATGTTACTGGTACAACAAGCCCTTGGCCACTCTAGGTAAGTTTTCATTAGCCAAGAAACTGAGATCCTCCAAAAAGCACAAGCATACTGAGAATCTTGAAAAATACGTATATATAACCCTAACAAACTAGAATTTCCATTTCATTGAGGCACGCTATCAGAAAAATAGCAACAATACCTTTTTAAGCTCATCTTACATCCTTCTAGGAGGAGAAGGAAAAAAGGGATCCTACTTAATTCCTCAACATGTTGGGAGTCTGAAAAAAAATTTTTATAGTACTTATTCAGAGTCTGAACTATAATGATCAAAAATGGTAGTCATTCTGGAAATAACTTGTGTAATTTACAAAAAGAGATAAATGAAATTATTTTTTGGATGCTGCAATAGGAGCTTTGTCCCATCTGTTTATACACAAAGTCTATCGTTTTTAAGTAAAATCAATGATCTCTTTGTCTGAATTAGTTGGTCAAGATTCCCAATTAGACTGAGGTGCGACTGACTAGATGTGTCCATTCTCTGAGAAGCAACAGTTATCAGGTTGGTCATGAACCTGCAGTTCAAGTGTATCTGCCAAAGAGGTCCCCGAATTGTGGCAGTGTGTCTGTTTAGGATGGAATGATACACGGATTAGATGATGGAAAATACGGCAGTGTTTTCCATATGATTCTGGAGTAAAGCAATAATACTAGCAATCATAACTTGGCTTTATTGTGGCCTGTCCATTGGGAGGACATGGTCTGCTAGGATTTTGTCACAAGGGCTTAAAAACTAGAGATTTAAAGCAAAATAAGAAGAGCAACCTAATTTGCGCATTCACTAGAAAGTGTCCATACTCTTGCTACAACTCTAAAAGGAACAGAGCAAACAAATCATAGCATCTGGCTCTAATTCCCCATCGAAGTGTCTCCCCTCCCCCCACACATACAAGGTAACCTAACACGATGTGGGTAAAATCTTTTGCAACAGCTGGTCACCACCACATTGTAGCTGACAGTCACAGATCGTGAAGAGGTCTAAGACTACGCACATGGAACAGTATTAGCTTGTAGAATTTGATGAAAAATAAAACTAACAATCCCAATATATGAAACTACTTCCCCTGCTTCTTAATGCTTCTCTCTGCTGTGTCGGTTGTGTTGTTACACTTCCTTCAATGCTTCATACGGGAACACTCAAAGAATTGGCATAGATTGAGGTCTCTTTGAAAACTGGAAAACAATAGGTCTTCTTGGCCCTTTCCTTTCCTTTTCCAATTTACAGGACACCAAAAGAAATATTATATGAACACGAACTAGCTACTACGATAGCCCATTAAAAATCGACTATATGCAAAAGGAAGAGAATGCTGGAGGCCATGTGCATCAGCTTTTCTCAAGAAAAAAAATATCCACATTCTAAGGGCTCTTAAAAATGTAGAAAACTTGCCCTGTTACCATAGGTTTTTAGAACACCTCTAAACACACACAAAATAAGACGGTATTACCTACAAATTTCAACCATTTCTTAAACTCTAAAAGCATTTTTTGTATTATTTTGATTTGATACAGAAGGGGAAACTCAGCTATAAAGAAATATTAAAAAGTACTTTTTTGTGGCGATCAGTCTCCAGAATTTTCTGTTGCTTGCCTCCCCCGACTTGTGCTGATATTTTAAGGATGTGCTCAAGAGTATAAAGTAGGGTGCGCTTTTGTCCCGTTCCCTCCTCCCTAATAGCTAGCCCCTCCCTCTCCCACAGCCAAATAGCCACCCCTCAGATGAGCCATTCCTTTTTGCTTTCATCAATGGTCTCTGTGAAATTGGGGTCGTTGTTCATGATGGCAGCATCCGCGCTCTCTGCTGACTCTGCTCCCTTTGCTTCATTGGTGTGGTAGGTGCCCTTGTGGCGGAACATGTACCGAATGAGGAAGACCAAGGTACAGAGAATGGTGAAAATCACCACAGCGATGACACCTGGTGGAGACAGGAGAAGCCCTGGAGGTTAAACAGACCTCATATACATCCCTGCAGCTCTACTTTCCCTGCGTTGCCATGGTTCTCTCTAACACCACCCTCCCCACCACAGAACACCAAATTCCAAAACAGCAGTCTGGTTGAACATTAAAAAACAAAGCAATGTAATTTACCACATTAAAGAAATATAGGAGAAAAAGTATATGACAAATTTCAACCTCCATTCATTATGAAGCCTCTCTGAAAGTTCCAGTAGAAGGAACCTTTCTCAACCTGATATTTTAATATATGTGCTGCCGAAGAGAGCACGGAAACTTTCTCAACCTGACAAAAAGCATCTATGAGAAACCTACAGCTAATATCCTACTCAATACGAAAAGAGTAAACACATTCTCTCTAAAATATGGAACAATGGAAGCAAGTCTAGTCTCTCAATGTACCAGAAGTCCTTGCCAGTGTAATAAAATGAACAAAAAAGAAATAAAAAGTGTACAGATTGTGAAGAAGTAAAAATTTTTTGTATTCTCAGGTGACATGATCATCTGTGTAGAAAATCCAATATATATGTGAAGTGTCTAGAACTAACAGTAGATTTAGCAGGGTCACAAAAATCAATTGTATTTTTATATGCTAGCAAGGAAACACGTGGAAGAATATTTAAAGTAATAAAAACTTAGAAAAGTAATAAAATAATACTATTTATAATAAAACAAATTGAACACAGTTGTTCAAGGCTGTGTTCCCTTAAAACCATAAAACCTTACTGAGAGAAATTAAAGATGTAGATAAATGGATGAATAGACCATGTTTAAGAGCTGAACACTCAGTATTGTTTCTATGTCCATTTATAGATCTAATGCAATCCCAACGAAAATCTCAGCAAACTTTTTCCTTGGTAGAGATTTATAAGTTGATTCTAAAGTATATATGGCAATAAAGTAAAGGATCCAGAATAGCCAACATAATTTCAAAAAACAAAAAAGAAATAGCTGGAGAATACATGCTGCTATCTCAAGACTTAATATAAAGGTAAAGCAATAAAGCAATCATAGTATTGGGTAAAGAAAGAGATATACATCAACAAAACACAATAGAGTCCAGAAAACAGACATACACATATATGGTCTATCAATTTTTGACCAAAGTGCCAAGAAGATTAAATTTGGAAAAAGTATAGACTTTTCAACAAGTAGTTTTGGAATAACTAGATATTTGTTTGGAAAATAATAGTTTTGACCTTTATCTCAGGCTATGTACCAATGTTAAAGTGATTACAGACTTAGAAACTAAAGCTATAAAAGTTCTAGAAGAAAATACAGGAAGAAATCTTCACAATATTGAATAGGCATATTATTTAGAATTAAAAAAAATCACAAAGCATAAAAGTTTTAAAAATCAGACTACACCAAAATTTAAATCTCTTGCTTTAAAAAAAAAAATACCACTAAGAGAATGAAAAGGCATGTCACAGACTAGAGAAAATATTCACAATATATATGTCTGAAAAAGGACTTGAACTATCTAGGAAATAAAAAATCTGTTATAACTCAAAAGAAGAAGTCAAATAATCCAGTTAAAAGATGGGGAAAGAGTTTTATTTTTTAAATATTTATTTTTGAGAGAGACAGAAAGACAGAGACAGAGCATGAGCAGGGGAGGGGCAGAGAGAGAGGGAGACACAGAATCCGAAGCAGGCTCCAGGCTCTGAGCTGTCAGCACAGAGCCCAATGTGGGGCTCGAACTCAGACACCGTGAGATCATGACCTGAGCTGAAGTTGGATGCATAACCGACTGAGCCACCCAGGAGCCCCACAGTCACATATTTCTATTTTTTCCATGTAGAAAAGAGACCTACTGGCTAAGCCAAGGTGACTGGCTGAGTTTAAGATCCTTGATATGTTTATAGTATTAGCTATCCTCAGACATGCAGGGAACACCTTGATGCAATAAGACGGGAGGCACAGGCAGAGAAGATGGTAACGGGGGTAAAGATACCAACCCAAATAAGAGGGACTGTGCTAGGAGACTTCAATTATTCTGTGGCTGTCCGTCGGGAGAAAAGACACCGGAATATTTTAGATGCCCTGGCTTATTAATTTTCTGATGATCTTTATTAAGAGAACTGCAACCCGACTGGCTGAGTCCTTCCTGTTTTTGCAGTAAGCGATCCTGGACCATTTGGGATGCGGGGGAGTGAGAATGGGAGAAGAGAGCAGGGAGGACATCCAGGCTCCTACACGGTGGCCTGTCAGCTTGTCTGGGCTTGGGCCGGCTCGGCACGACCATCCCATTCTTACAGGTCGGCATTAAAAAGTAGCCAGGTCACGGGGCGCCTAAGTGGCTCAGTCGGTTAAGCATCCAACTTTGGCTCAGGTCATGATCTCACGGTTCGTGAGTTTGGGCCCCGCGTCGGGCTCTGTGCTGACAGCTCGGAGCCTGGAGCTGCTTCGGATTCTGTGTCTCCCTCTCTCTCTGCCCCTCCCCCACTCACGATCCCTCTCTGTCTCAAAAATAAACAAACATTAAAAAAAAATGTTTTCTTCAAAGTAGCCAGATCACATTTACAACCGTGTCTCCACATCCATATGTCACAGTCTTCAGTCATATTTAAATAACGAATCAGGTAAAAATCTAGATGATGGTTTTGTTTTGTTTTTAAGACGACACATTTATGGACAATCATTACTTTCCACAGGTACGTAGCCTGTTCTATGCATCACCCACCTCCAATGATAGCCGAGTTTCTGTTGACTCCATTTCTTATAGCTTGGCCTTGTCCTGGATTATATGGGAAATCAGCACTGGCTACAGAGGAAAAAATGGAAAAGTCAAGTGTAAGAGTCAAGGATACTATTAACCCCAAATAATCTGACGTGGATTTTTTTTTCATGTAACTCTTGTTTTCCCAGGAGAGCTCTGTTTCCCAAATTACAGTGCCTTCACCCACGTCTTGGCTTTTCTCTTGGGTGACATCCAGACAAGCAGGATCAGTCCTTTGGAGGAGTATTAGAGGATGTAGAATTACCTGGGCTGGCCCACTCCACTTCCACCAACAGGCAAGCTTATGGATTAGAACCCTTGTTCTCATGTTCGGCTGAAATCTGCCTCCCATCTGCTTTTACCTATTACATTGGCTATGTTTGTAGAGCCTTTTAGACCTTACAGCATTAGTTTAAAAGGGAATCATTTTAGGGCACCTGGGTGGCTCAGTGGACTTCGGCTCAGGTCATGATCTTGCGTTTGTGAGTTTGGGCCCCACATCGGGTTCTGTGCTGACAGCTCAGAGCCTGCTTCGGATTTTGTGTCTCCCTTTCTCTCTGCCTCTGCCCTGCTCACACTCTCTGTCTCTCAAAAATAAATAAATGTTAAAATAATTTATTGTCAAGTTGGTTTCCATACAACACTCAGTGCTCATCCCCACAAGTGCCCTCCTCCATGCCCATCACCCCCCCTACACACCCATCAGTCCTCAGTTTGTTCTCAGCATTCAAGAGTCTCTCATGGTTTCCCTCCCTCCCTCTCCCCCACTATTTCCCCCCTTCTCCTCCACAATCCTCCATTAAGTTCCTCCTAATCCTTCTATTCGTGCAAACATGGTATCTGTCCTTCTCTGCCTGACTTATTTCGCTCAGCATAACACCCTCAAGTTCCATCCATGTTGCTACACATGGCCAGAGTTCATTCTCATTGTGATGTAGTATTCGATCGTATAGATAAACCACATCTTCTTAAAAATCATTTCTTTAAATTAACATTTTACAAGACTCTAATAAAACATAGGACACATCGGGAATGTGTATGGGGGTCAAATTTCATAAGAGTTGAGAATAATATAAGCTGCCTAATAAAGTTTCCATTTCTTTCCCTATTATGAAAAAATCAGGATCAGTTGTATTAAAGTTAGGTATGAATTTCAAGTACATAAAAGGCAAATAGATGTCTTTCTAGAGGTTGGCAGAGTATCTGTTAACATCCATACGAGCTAATTTAACCTCATAAACGATTTCATATTCATCGGACCTCTGTTTTAGACGTCCAGGTTTAAGGTAAATATTCCAAAGGAAACAGTTTCTCCTTCAGCAGATCACCTTAGTCTAGTCAGAGCCTTAGTTACTGGACCGCATCAATTAGGTATTTAAAAAATGTTTGAAGGGGCGCCTGGGTGGCTCAGTCGGTTAAGCGTCCGACTTCAGCTCAGGTCATGATCCCACGGTTCGTGAGTTCGAGCCCTGCATCGGGCTCTGTGCGGACAGCTAGCTCGGAGCCTGGGGACTGTTTCGGATTCTGTGTCTCCTTCTCTCTCTGACCCTCCCCTGCTCACTCTGTCTCTCTCAGAAATAAATAAAACATTAAAAAGTTTTTAAAAAAATGTTTGAAGTAGTTATTTTACGTAAGTAAATGTGTGCACATGGAGGAAAGAGGTCTGTGTTATCGTTCAAGGAAGGTCTTGCTGAGGATGCAAGTTTCCTGAGGCCTATCCTCCAGCTCTCTGCTCCTCAGGACCCCCAGGAAAATGATGCAAAGTAGGTAGAGCTTTCCTCTCCTTTTCCCCAGGAAGAGGGCCACCAGAAGGAGAGATTTCAGATCCTACCAGCAAATGCTACTTAACCTTTTCTCTCTTTGGCTTGGTATTCTTAAGAACAGAAAAATTATTCATTCCTGGATCGATCATATTCCAAATCAGCTTGGCAATCAGTGCTACTCAAGCCTGTTGATTTGATTAAAATACAGACACTAAGAAAGATACAAGGGGAGTCCTTGGGACTTTTCCTATTCCCTCAATTCCTTATCTGGTGAATGCGGCAGAGACCTTTTGTTACTGTGTGCTTGTTTTAACTGGTCCAATCCTGAGTCTAGGGAGACAGAGCCAATGTGAAGTACACTGCAGTCAGTGGCTTTCCCTATGCCCCGTAGGACTTTCTTGCATGGACAGCATGGACTGACATTCAAAATTCCAAGTGTCAGCACAAGGATGCAATGATCTTGCATTTATAGGCTCATCACCTAATGTTAAGAGTAATAATAAAATTATCCCATGTGAAAAACAATGGTTTCCAAATAATATTTTTGGAAACCATGATTTCTCCTTTAAACCTGAGTTTTCTCTTCAGAGAAGTATTATTCGTAGACGTGACAAATGAATTTATTCAGTCTTTGAACAAATCTTTCCAGAACACTGACTATATGTTAGGTACCATTCTAAGTGCTAGGGATCCACAGTGAACAATCATGAATATGAAAACTATTGCTAACGAGAAATTTCTATGCCTCATTGAAGAGTTTGGTTTCCATAGTCAAAACACTAATCTAAAGCATGGATGTGGTTTTAGTTCTGACCCTGTCTAGTTATAGTAAATTGTCTAAAACTGCTTCGTGGTTGCCATGTTATAACTCATACCCTCATACGTCCTGGTAAGATTTGGTTATTCCCTGACATACACCATCTTTCCAAGACTGAGAGACTGAGAGTTTCTTTTTGAGAATGAAAGTTTACACTTTCACTACTCACCTTTGACATCATTTCCAGGCCTCCTGACCACGTAATTACCCTTCTCTGGACACTAGTCTGTGTCCTTCTAGAAAGTCATCAAGCTTGTCTAGTGGCCCAGATGTAATTGGAAACCAGATAGGGTTAATTCCTAAGTCATCCATCTTCCCCATCCTGCCTTTTGAGGGCTGAAGAGGCAGTCAGGTGAGGAAGTCCCAGCATCCAGACAGTTTGGCTTGGGCAGGGCCTATGGGAGAAGGAGCCTTTACAGGGGATGAGGAGAGCAATCTGTTTTGTCTTGAAGGTACTGAGCTATGGGACATGCAGATGGAGATGTCCACTGGACATCTGGGATCTTATGAGTGGCTCCTATTTCTCTTCTCCATTTCAGAAACTCAAAAATCTCATCAATTTTAAATAACATGAACCTTCAAAATATATTAAGTATGGGGGCGCCTGGGTGGCTTAGTTGGTTAAGCGTCTGACTTTGGCTCAGGTCATGATCTCAAGGTTCGTGGGTTCAAGCCCCACATCAGGCTCTGTGCTGACAGCTCAGAGCCCGGAGCCTGCTTTGGATTCTGTGTCTCCCTCCCTCTTTGCCCCTCCCCTGCTTGTGCTCTGTTTGTCTCTCTCTCTCTCTCTCTCTCAAAAAAAAAAAAAGAGTAATAAAATAAAGAAAATCAGTCCAATAAGAGGAATGTAAATATTTCCAGTTCTCTTTGACACAGTCTCCCATGCGGGTATAATTTTGGAAGTCAGCTGCCTAAAGGCAACTCAACCTTTGAAGCCAGGAAGCATGCTTATTCTTCCCAACAAAGGAGATGAACACATTAAATTCAGAAAAGCTACTGATGGTTCCTGTGTCCACGAGTCTTTGGTTATTATCAGAAATCAACTAGTGGAAAACCCTAAGGTACAACAGAAGTCCTCACAAAATTCAAGGGCAGGGTTCTGTTCTCGCACAAGCATCCCTATTTTCATGGCTTCATTTATTTAAAAAATTCTTTTAATGTTTTATTTTATTTTTGAGAGAGACAGAGCATGAGATGGGGAGAGGCAGAGAGAGAGGGAGACACAGAATCTGAAGCAGGCTCCAGGCTCTGAGCTGTCAGCACAGAGCCTGGAACTCACAGACTGTGAGATCATGACCTGACCCGAAGTTGGCTGGCTAACCGACTGAGCCACCCAGGCGCTCCTTCACGGTTTCATTCATAACTTAAGTCTGGTTGACCTGATGCACATGAGTCCTTACTCCCTTGAGGCATATCCATTTTATCCTGGCAAGCAGAGAAATTGCTATTTTGATCGATATATTTGAAATTATTTCATTGTAACTGTCCTTTCCCCCTGGGGTACCAACATCCTCTGGGAAATGCACGTATGAATACATGGAAACCAAGAGACATGAATGAGACCATAGGACAAAGCTCATCCATGACACATTCTGTTCTGTCTCATCCCCCGTTTGCTAGGAGAATGGAGCAATTTTAGGGATGCTGCACTATTAAGGAATCTATATTTTGGGAAATGGTATGAATATGTCCAAACAGGCTGGCTGGCGCAGTTGGTAGAGCATGCAACTCTTGATCTCAGGGTCATGACTTTGAGCCTGATGTGTGTGGAGCGAACTTAAATAAAAAAAAAAAACAAACCCACCAGACTCTAGATATTAACAGTCTCAAGACCAGACTTGCATCAAATAGGCAAAGACTATATCCAATATACTTTTCAACTGGATCTCTAAATGGTAGAACATGATGGTAACCACAAAAGCATGGCGCTAGGTGAGCTTGGATTTAGCGTCTCACAGAAGCGTGTGTATTTCCACTTATTTCCCTTGTGCATGTCCTCGTCTGTCTGGCCATCCCCATGACAGTGGCCGGTCACAGACCACGTTTCCTCTGCACACCTAGAGATCAGCGCTCCTCTGTTTCTCCACCCAGCGCAGTGCAGGCACACCATGTTTCTGGAAGAATCGACGATGAGAGATTCTTCACCCACCCCTCTGCTTGTTAAATTGCCCGGCTGAGGCTTCAGGTTTCAGTACACTAGCTCCCTTCTTGCCAAGGGGGCAAATATATCATAGGCTCCAAACATACTCAGATATGGGTCAGAGTTGCACTCAACACATGGACCCTGTTCCCTTCCACTGTCATTGCCATGTGAGAAGCCGCCTGAGAGCTCAGTACTGGTGCACTTTCCCTCCTCCTCCTCCTCCACCTTCAGATTGAAAATGAAGAAGGAAACAATAAACAAACTTGGTAAAAGTGGGCCTGGGGGGGTAGTGTTCCCCATAATGATACACATACTGTAGAGT